TTTTTCAGGATCAGCTGTTACACCATTACTTGCTACAATATGTCCCAAGTACTTCACTTCTCGTCGAAACAAGTGACATTTCTTCGGACTCAACTTCAAATTTGCTGCCCGCAATCGTTGAAAGACTTCTGTCAGATTATTGGCATGTTCATCGAAGGATCTTCCTACTACAATTACATCATCCAAATAAACCAGGCATGTTTTCCATGTTAGACCTCTTAAAACTGCCTCCATTAATCTTTCAAATGTGGCCGGGGCATTACATAAACCAAAAGGCATAACTGTGAACTGCCAAAGCCCTGATCCTATTGAGAATGCGGTTTTCTCACGATCAGCTGGCTCCATGTCTACTTGCCAATATCCACTTTTCAGATCGAGTGTGGAGAACCAACGAGAACCAGAAAGTGTATCCAAAGTATCGTCTATTCTGGGCAAAGGATAACTATCTTTTTTAGTTACCGAATTGAGCTGTCGGTAGTCAATACAAAAACGTGTTGAACCATCTTTCTTCTTTACTAGCACTACTGGTGATGTCCATGGACTGTTTGATGGTTCAATTACCCCTTGTTTGTTCATATCTTTGATGATGTCTTCGGCTTCATCTCTTTTCGCAAATGGAAGTCGTCTAGGTTGTTGTCTGATTGGCTGAGCGTCTCCGGTATTAATTTTATGCTTTACTATGCTTGTTTTGCCATTATCCTTCTTATCAATGGCAAAAACATCTTGAAATTCTATCAGCATAGACTTCACTTTTTTAGTTCGTTCATCATCAAGATCTTGGCACGTTTTAATCATCGTCTCAACAAGCTCCTTTGGATACTTAGATTTCGACGGTTTCTCATTAGTACTCATGGAACAAATCGAAGCCACGGGAACACACTGTCCGATCAAAGTTCTTTTACTTAACTTAATAGCAGTTCCCTTTAAATTCATAACTCTTACAGGAACGACATCTCGAATTTTCACCAAAGCTTTTGCCGTTAGGAACTCGGCATTGTTCACATCTTCGACCATCCTTAAACTTCCCTCTCGGCAGTAACCATCAGGTTTGGTCATCAAAATTTTCTCACTATTACCGGGTATTGTTACGTCACAAGTAGTTATTAAGCTGATAACATCTTCTTTGTCTTCATGAAACGGCAACTCTTCACCACCAATCTCGAGAACTCTATCTTTGACATTCAATACAGCCCCAACTTTCCGTAGTAAATCCATCCCCAATATGAACTCGTCGGAGATCTCTGCAATTAATACTCGATGTTTCACTGTGGTCTGGCCAATGGATACTGACATATTAGCCTCGCCATATGTATTAATTATCTCACCAGTTGCTGTTCTAAGCTTTACTGTTGCAGGCGATAATTTAAGATGGTCTCGTACTACTTCTGGCCGTGCTATAGTTCTTGTTGCACCTGTATCTACCAAAAACGATATACATTTATTATTAATACGACCTTCGATGTACAAGCTATGAATTCCACCGGAGGACGTAATGTTAACAGTTACTATGGGGGCTGTGTTTCTCGAGGTCGGCAGTTGCCCCTTAGTGTCGACCCGTTCTAGTTTTCCGACTGTTGTATCATTTTCTTGCAATTACGGCGAATGTGACCTACGTCACCACAATTCCAACATCTGGGCTCGCGTCTCTTCGGCATCGTGTTATGAACTATTTTTCGTACCATTTCTTCTAGACGTTCATCGTTTGGTTCGTCGCCTTCTTCAATAGTTCTTACTCGATGGCTCCGTGAAGTTTGACTAGCTGTTTCATGTTCTAAGGCAATAGCGAGCGCTTCATCTAGAACTTTCGGTCTTGCTAGTCGTAAAGCTTTCTGTAATTCACTTTCTTTTAACCCATTGACGAAGGTATCTACAGCAATTTCTTCCAAAATGTTGTCTGGTACCTCAGGATAAGCCAACCGCACTATACGAGCAACATCTGCTTCAAACTCTTGCAAATTCTCACTTGCTCGTTGAACTCTACTTCTTAGTTGCGCCTTGTAGACTTGTTGTAGATGGGCATCTCCGTAACGTTTGTCTAGTCGAGTGAACAAGGTCTGGTAACATTTTTCTTGACCCTTAGGAATCGATCTTAAGATATCTGCAGCATCACCTCGTAAAGCAGCAGTCAAGGAAACAGCTTTTTCTTGTTCTGTCCAATGATTGGCTGTCGCAATAGCTTCAAATTGTCTAAGGTATATGGACCAAGAGGACTTTCCATCAAATGGTGGCAATTTGAATCTCATATGATGTGCCATTTCGTCTCTAGGTGATTCTTCTTTCACTACCGGATCTAAAGCTACCGTATTAATTGGTGGTAGCACTTTCGTGTTAGTTATCATAGTCTCCAATTGTTTGATCTTCTCTTCTACGTCTTCTATCTTGTCGTTTACATTTCTCTGTATCTTATCGAATTTTCTTGAGACTTCTTCAAATTTCTCATTGTTTTGTTTACATACGTCTTTAATTATTTGAGAAGTCTCGTCGAATCTTCTAGCAACATTTTCGAATTTCTCGTCATTTTGTCTAGCTGTTTCTTTAATAATTTGAGACGTTTCATCGAATCTTTCATCAGTTTTTTTAGAAGTTTGTTCGATCATTTGAGACGTTTCATCGAATCTTTTGGAAACGTTCTCGAATTTATCATCAGTGTTTTTAGAAGATTCTTCAATCATTTGCGAGACATTTACAAATTTCTCATTTATTTTTGTTAAAACTGTTTCTTCTGATGATTGAAACTGGAATGTCTCTGGGTCATCTCCATTCTTGTTAAGAACATTCTTCAGTCGCTCCTGGAGGATCTTCTTGGACCCGCTGCAGTCTTCATCGCGTTCTTCTAATTGCTCACGCAACTGTTTTACCGAGAGTTGTACTAGCAGCATCTTTGTACAGGCACACACGTACTTTTATAAATGTTCTTTTGTACAAAGGTCACTACCGAACTACGCGGATGTTCCCGACGAACAATACTTTTCAAAAGTTTTAAAGTCTTTTTCAAAAGTCACTGCTGGATTTATGTTGAAACTCCACACCGGACACCAACTGTACCGTTTTTAAATAAAACGAGCGGTTCGAATTTATATAAATATATTTATTTATAACTTTACAGTTCGGTATTCTCTTATCAACTAAACTTAACTCCTAATTCCGTTACATATATATACCAAAGTATTATGTTCGAGAATATTCGGGACTAGTCCCACCTATAATTCGTTATCTGACGACGGGTGGAATTTTACAGCGCTTGATATATGACCGGTAATTTCTCGATCCTTCGAGATGCATCCGTTACATGGCCATGCCGAAAGCATGTTCGTAACAATATATATATATATATATATATATATATATATATATATTATATATATATATATATACTCTATTTATTTCACTGGTGGTGAGAGTATTAGTTGGAAACAAATAGCACAACACAGGAAATTTAGACTTTTCTCGCTCTGGGAGAACGGCGGAGCTTTTCACAAACCGAAATGTTGCGTCGGTTTAACAAGTATCCAGGAGGGAATTGAAGGATGTTTAAGATGTTTAAGATTGTTAATGTTTAAGTGGTTAATCACTACCTTTTATTGTCCAAAAGTAAGCTTTTGTAACATATTTTAAGCATTTGAATTTTTTGGTTCTCCTTATTTTGTGAGTTCACTTCTTAGATTAAATTGTTTGGATTTTCTTATTGGGCATTAAAGAAGAATGTGGTAAAGATCGTTAATTTTTCCGCATTCACAGTATAAGTGCCCACAATGTCTTGTTCTCATTCTTATTATGATTGTCAAATGTTTTCTATCTATGTATGGAAATTTATGAAACCATGGTTTTTCTGGGAACATTAATTGTATTTATGAGTACCATTTTCCGTTAATTTGAACTTTTGATTTCCAATGTGCTGTCTTAATTTTTTATATTTATTTTTAGAGCTGGCCAGAGTTCTGTGTGGTTTACAGTAAGTCTATAATTTTTACTAGTCGAATTGGCCTCAATAAATATTTTTTTTTTTTTTGATTGTAGTACAATATAATCACATTTTGAAATAATACTTATGCAATTTAATTTTTGTATAGCGCTTTAAGAATCTCTAAAGATAATACAATCTTTAATGCCTCTATTTGAGCATAAATCCCCTTATTAATGGCTATTATTTCTGCTGTACATAATTATATTCATAATTAAAGGTAGCTTGGATGAAAATGACAAATTTATGTCAGGGATGTACACTCCATACCAGTTTGTATTTTCACACAAACATTTTGCATGATGCATGGTGCATTTTGATGCATCAATGAAAACAAAAATATATTTTCAGTAGTAATATCCCTAGGATATTGATAACAGACGAGATAATTTCATGACAATCGAAAGCTCGTTCCTTGGTAACAGCACGAATTCGAAGGCTGAGTGCTGTTACCAAGCAACGAGCTTGAGAAATTTGTCATGAAATTATGAGGCATTCATCAATGTCTGAGGGATATTCGGCGGATAATTTTTCAAAAAAAATCATAACCCAACATAACGAAACATTTATTTATTAAAAGTACAGTTAGTGAAAGTACAATTATTAAAATTTAAGATAACATTAGATTAACATAAACGTGACATTTTTAAATTTATTTGGATGAAGTTGTCAAACTCGATCGTGTTGTCATAGGGATTGAAAATTGCACTGAATGCAATTATCAGTCTAATGTTGACATGATTGGGTGAAATTGTTCCACATGACACAAAATGACGAAATTTGAATGGTTGTTAGAACAGTCGAAAAATTATCTAGATAATTTTTCGACTGTTCTAACAACCATTCAAATTTCGTCATTTTGTGTCATAATGGAGAATTATCTCCAGGATTTGCAATATCGTTAGACTGAAAATTGCTGTGTAAATTCTCGTCAATCACCAATATATTTTCATTTTCACCGAAATCAAAGTATATTAGTTTCTTGCAAACGATAATAATAATAATAAAATACCTGTACTTTTTTCACTTGATGATTCTTTCATATCATGCATTTACATTCAGAAGGATTGTAACTGGAACCTGAATGTGCATATGGCTCATCAACACTAAATAGATCACTGTCATCAAAAGTATTATTGCTTTTGTCTGAAAGAGATAAGTTACAATAATTCAGACGTGTATTAATATTTACTTTTTAACACCATATTCCAATATATCTACTTTTAATAATTACTTAAAAAAATTATATATCCATAATATCCATAATACAACTTCCAAATAGCTAAAGATAAACAATTAAAGCGTACGCGAGCTGTTAAAAATCAAATAAAAAAACGGGTGTGGCAGTCCAGTGGGACTGCCGGTAAAAGTTATACTTCTATACACGCGTTCGCCGTTACAAATTTGTATGAGAGTCAATCTGCACAATCATAACATAATGTAATGCTATAGATAAGTGAGAGCAGAAAAAGAAAAAGAATTAGTTATATAGGTATATGGTGCATCGTTTGCTGTATATAAACATTTGACTTGTAATAGGAGTAAAGTAAATGAAGGATTGTATCAATATTTTAATGAAAATATATATTTTTATTTTCATATATGTATAAAGGAGTTGAATGCAAAAAAAATTTACACATACTCTGCAGTAAAATTCATTATTTATTTTGTTATTAATATAAAAATTACAATACAATAAATACACTGCAACATAATTAAATATATTAATACAATATAAATTAAAATGTAATTATAATAAGTATTTAAAACTGCCAATATACATAACTTACTTTACGAAGATCGAAATTAAAAACCAACAACTCAGATTATGTTTACTCGAAATTTTCATTTTATTTTAAAATGTAGCATTTTTGCGTATACTACATAAATTTAATGAGATTAACGTAAGGTTTTTAAATATTTTAAAAATAAAAAAGGAAATTCATAATTGGGATTCGAACTCACAAACACCAGCTAATGAAACAAACACGTAAAGGATTTGCCAATTAGACATGACACTAACGGATTTCAAAATTGACCGTTTTCGATCAAACAGTGCTTATTTTGAAATACAAAAGCCTAAAATAATTATAAACGTTTAATAAATAATACAAGATCTGTCACATAAATAATAATATTAATACATATTACATTATATATATATATATATATATATATATATATATATTTATATATATATATATATATATATACATATATATATATTTATATTTATATATATATATATATATATATATATATATATATATATATATATATATATATATATATAAGAGTAAGAAAAAAGAAGTACTTGTGACTCGTTTGGAAAAAATATAACACTGTTTTTGATGGGTTGGAGTCAATAAAAGGGGCTATTTGTTGACTATGTTTTACTCAAGCTTTCAATTGTGATTACAATTTTTATCAAGAGCTTCTAAAAAATACAAAATGTCTTACAAAGTTGAACTAGAAATAAAAAATTTTTTGTTAACTCACCAAATAAAATTAGTTTTTTATAGAAAACTACTGCTTACATATTAAATACAAAAAATATTAATAAAAAAATGTCTTATTCTAATAAATGTTTCTCTGCAAAATTTTGATGAAGTTTTTTAAGAAAAAAAATTGAATTTGTAAACAAGAATAGAATAGCTACAACCAGCCTAAATGTCATAAATACTAACTTAAAAATTTTTATTTTTGACATATTGTCAAAAATAAAATTTTGTTTAAAAAATTCTTCTGTGTTTAGTAACAAAAAAGAAGAAGATTTATTTACCATTGATAGATGCCCGAAAAAATGTAACAAATACATGGAAAATTCAAAATGTGATATTTTACTGACTGCATATATAAATTAAATAGAAATTATATAATTATAAATTTTGCTTAAATTTTGAATTTCTGACCTTTTGTTTAAATTATTATCACTGTTGCTAATACAAACCATTTCCAAAAAAGTTCTTTTAAATTTATTACTTTCATTGTATAAAATTTTAATATTATCAAAATCCATAATATGGTCTTTCTCTATTACAGTGGTTCTCAACCGGTGTTCCGCGGAACACTAGTGTTTCGCGAATTCCTTCCAAGTGTTCCGCGAAATACTCGCAATCCTACATACCATTTTGCTAAATTACTCTTTTCAAATAAATATTTTCAAATTTTAAAATAGCCACTTACGTACATTTTAATTTAATAAAATTCTGCAGCGTAAATGTTCATTTGCCCAACGTGACAACACCGCGTCGGCACAGTGCATACGTTGGATTTTATAAGCGCTGAGCGCTGAGCTCCGCAGTGGCCACAGCCAATCTGAGTCACCCACGCCACAGTCTGCAACTGAATGTTGAATTTGTTACATTGCACAAACATAATACGTGAAAATCGCTGTGTCAGTTTTTTTATGATAACGTTTACGTACGGCTTATCTATCAAAGGTAAGTAATTGCATATTTTATACAAAATGTGAAGCATTCATCCGCATTATTTTGTTTAGAGACGAATAAATTAAAATGGATAAGTTCCTCAAACTTAAAAAAAAAACTACTGTGGAACAACTCATAATTAATGATGATGAAGCGAGCACCAGCGGAGATACTGGAACTTTACGAAGTGGGGTTGATGACAAATCGAAACGCAGCAAAAAAATGTTGAACCGGCAATATTTGGATGAATATTTGGATTATGGCTTTATTTGGACTGGGGAAGAAGACTGTCCAATTCCCAAGTGTATTGTTTGTGGGCAGACACTCGCTAACAGCGCAATGGCTCCGTCTAAATTAAAACGCCATTTTACTACCAAACACGCTAGTGTAGCTTCAAAAAATAAAGATTATTTCAAGCGACTTTTAAAGACACAAGCTAAACAAGCGAAACAATTTGAAAGGTCGCTAACAATTTCCGACAAAGCACAAATAGCTTCATATAAGGTCGCCGAATTATTTGCTTTGAAACAGAAACCACACACTGTTGCAGAATCTCTTATATTACCAGCATGTTGTGAGATGGACAAAATTATGTTTGGCAACGATGCACAAAACGAAATACGGAAAATTCCTATGTCGTATGATACAATAAGAAGGAGGATTGTTGATTTATCTGCAGATATTGAAGAAAAAGTTACAAATAAACTTTACAAAAAAAACTTCGCATTGCAGGTGGACGAATCCACTGATATTAGTGGCAAAGCTCATTTATTAGGATTTATTCGATTTGTCGACGAAGGTGAAATAGCCAATCAGTTTTTATGCTGCAGAGAACTTACAGCACGTACAACAGGTCAGGATGTATTTGATTCCATAACGTCATATTTAGAGAAAAAAAAAATATATATCATGGGACTTTTGCGTAGGAATTTGTACGGATGGTGCCCCTTCCATGGTAGGCTCCATAAAAGGTTTTTGTACCCTTGCAAAAAAGCGAAATGAAAATATCATATCTACGCACTGTTTCTTGCATAGAAAATCTCTAATTTTAAAAACGCTACTAGCTACTTTGAAATCTGTATTAGACCAAGTGGTTAATGTCGTGAATTACATCAAATCAAGACCACTAAAAACCCGTCTTTTTAAACAACTCTGCATCTCAATGGAATCAAAGTATGAATGTTTGTTGCTGCATACCGAAGTTAGATGGTTGTCAAGGGGCAAAGTATTATGTCGAATTTATGAACTTAGAACGGAGCTGTTAACTTTTTTCCAGGAAGAAGGTAATGACACATTTACCACATATTTTGAAAATGATGCATGGTGCACTAAAGTGGCATATTTGGCCGATATTTTTAATTATTTAAATGGCGTTAACTCAAGTATGCAAGGCAAAAATGAAAATATTTTAACATCCACGGACAAGCTGTCAGCTTTCCAGAAAAAATTGTCATTTTGGAAGAAGCGCATTTTAGAGACAAATAAAATGGATATGTTTCCACTGCTTCAGAATGAAGGTGATGAAAATAAAGAACAAGAAATCACGCATATAGTTACAGAACACTTATCACCATTAAAGAAGCCAGGTATTTTCCATCTCTGAACGTAGAAAAATATGACTGGATAAGAAGTCCTTTTAGCACAAGTAATACAGCCAATTTCCAGTTTTCTCTGAACCAAGAAGAAGAATTTACTTCGTTGTCATCTGATCGTACTCTGAAAATTAAGTTTTCAGAAGTGAATGTTCAGGAATTTTGAATCTTGGTCCAAGAGGAATATCCACTTCTTGCCAAAAAAGCGATTAGTATTTTAACACAGTTTTCAACGTCCTATTTATGTGAAATTGGTTTCTCATCTTTAACAAACATTAAAAATAAGAAACGGGAAAGGCTACTAAACTTATAACAAGAAATGAGAGTAGCTCTTTCCCACATCAGGCCTGATATTGAGAAAATTTGCAAACGACACCAGGCACAAGTGTCTCACTAATTTTAAGTATTTACTCATATGATGTATTTTGAGAATTACGCTTTTGTTAATTTTAAAAATGTTTTTTGTTTTCATATTTTAAGTAAAATTTTACAAATTTGAGTACGTATAATAAAGTTTATTACAGAATTTATGTGCTAATCCTAATTTGTTTATCAATATATGCATGTTATTGCTTTGGTGTTCCGCAATTTTTTTCGGTAATTAAAAGTGTTCCGTCGCCACAAAAAGGTTGAGAACCACTGGTCTATTATATGTTCTGCCAAAGCACAAGATGTTTTCTTAATTCTACAATCACTCTTGTGAGAAATAATGCGATTTGAGAGATTTCTTCCAGTCTCACCAATATACTCAGCTTCACACTGAGTACAAATGTAGTATACAGCATTGTTTGTACAAATATCAATGTCAAATAATAATACAAATACAATGTCATAGATTTGTGTATAATAATTAAGTTTGTGTGAATGTAAAGTAATTTTTTAAAATTTTAAATATAGGAATAGGTTTTAGCTCAACAGATATAACAGACTGTGATAAATTTTATCAACATTTTTTATAAAATCGTTTATTATACAACCTCATTAAGTTTCTCCCTGATGAAGGACATAACCAATGTCCGAAAGCTTGGACTAAAAATTTAAAAGAGTACACCTTTCATTTTTATTCATATATATATATATATATATAATATATATTACATATATATATAAAGGAACATTTTTA